TAAAATAATAAGAAAAATTTTTTATTAAAAAAACCAAATTACAAAATCTGACTGATAGCCCAATACTCATTTATAATAAAGCTAATTGAATATATAATGTTCATCTATTGTATAGCAGTATTGATTAAAAAAGCTGGAGAAAAACAAAATTTGAATATATTTCGAATATCTTTATATAGACATTCATGGGCTTTTAATATTAAGTGTTTGCACCTACAAGCTATATTATAGTACTAATTAGATAATAATAATGTTTAATATGAGTTTGATTGCTTGAATACATTTTATAAAGATACACTTTAGTATTAGTCCCAATCATAATGGGTTTGATCAATATATGAGCCTTGGTGAATAAAAATGAGAGTTTATTTTTATTGATTAGTATGTATATAGTAACTTAATAATAGCTTAATTATCAGCTACTTACGACAATGCTTTATCTTCTCGGTTTAATAAATTAAATTTTACTTAGACATTATATGCAGAGAATACTCTTTAATCAAATTTAGTACTTTCTATGTTACAAAATTTTGATCAATGAGATAATTCTTAAAAACTTAATTAAAAATATTTAAATGTAATTATTAAAAATTTTTATCAGTCGCACTTTGTAATGAACAGTATCGGAGAATGCTTTGTGAATAATGAATTATAAAGCTATTAGTTATATATTATTGTTAGTTGTTAATTTAACTAATATATGCTTTATCTCTAATAGACAGTTATCTTAAGTTGCTAACTTTTTTTTTGTTTTTGTATTTAAAGCAAAAAAAAAAAAACTTGATTTGCATAAGCAAATGCATTTTTTTTATTTAAGAAGATTGCAGACTATTGTGTTGAAATTATTTTTACTGTAATACCTATTGTAGTGGCCTGTTATATGGACAACATCAGTTGTGATACTTTAAAAACTCGAATACTTTACAATGTACACAGTCCATACAAATCTATTCAAACTAATCGCAAATAAAATAACTATTCCTTTTGAATTAAAAACAACATTTTGCAAAGTCTTGAAGTATCACTTTTTATAAAAAGTTATAAGAATTGATATTAATGCAATGTGTAAATCTTCAATATTTTTGATCATCTATCGGAATATGTTGCACAATACGTGTATAGATCTTTTTTTTTGCCGTAATCTTTGATTGAAATACGATAGGCTTTTCATGTACCCCAAACTTTTCTACGAGAAGTTTGGCAGACACATACTGGTCACTTCGAATATCAATTTTGTAGTTCGCATTTTCTGTTCATTGCGAATGGTCTTTAACTACGATGCGCGATGATTGACTAGGCCTCACGGTCGTCACGAAACACTTCAAACAATTATTATTATGTCTGAATTATTATGTATTCAGTTTCGTTTATATAGTCAAACATTGTTTTTTGATCGACATACATTAACTGACGTTACATATAATGCCAAACCACTTTGAAATGTTAAATTTTAACAGTAAATATTTACTGTACTCACCTTTCACCCACCGGCATTGACTCATAGATATCGCTACGCTAAGAATTTTTCTGGGGACAGTTGAATTGGTTTTAAGATAATCCATGTAATATCAGCAAATATCTCTAATAACTTGATAAAACAATAATACTTAAATTCCAAACTACATAACTATGCATTACAGAGAATGAGAAACGAAAAAGACATAAGCACTTTAAAGCAACAAATGACTAAATAATTTCAAGACTTGTGATTATATATATTTTTCTAAAATCAGTGGTTCTAGATACTGCAGAATAAATACAAAATGAGATTATAGAATTAACTTGGAAAACATCGACAATTGTATAATGAAAGTACGACTATATTGTAGTGATGACGCAAATGCTGGCACAATGACGCATTATGCCCATTCATTTTGAGCATAATGAAAGGCCACCATAATTGTTCCAAGTATTCCCGGACGCAGTTCTTCCACTGCTATTCAAACATTTTTTATTGTTTTATTGCGAATTTGAAATCATATACGAACCAAAGTTTCAAATATGATAAAACAGTTTAGTATTTTCAAATGGATAATGGCATTGAAAAGTTTTAGTTTGTTTTTTCATAATATTTTGAAATTAACTGAAAAATGAATATATTTTATATACTTTTTTTTAGCAAATATTTTATAAAACAGTAAGAAATAGTAACAAAAAATTATATTATACTTTATTAAAGGAATTTTTAAGCCACCTTGTCTTTTGAGTCATGGGAATACATAAGTTTCGTTAAAGTCATTGGTGATAGCACAATGTATAATAAAATTATTATTATCAATTACATCCAGAAATTGTTTATGCATATATAATTCAAATATATTGGAATTTTTATTATTATATTGCAATCAAAAATTATAGTTACTGATGATTATAAGCACACACATATACGTATACACATACTTATATTCCTGTAAATAGAAATATGTTTCTTTACTTACCTTGTCATTGATGTTAAGCTTTTTATTTTTTAACTGTGAAATTTACAAAAATTAAATACTTATGTACATGTGAGTATGTATATATTTATATGTACTGCAGTTTACAAATTTTAACCAGACTAATATAATACTAAAATTTGCAAGTGTTATTATTAATACACACTTTTTATATATTTTTCAGTATATAAACACATATAAGTTCATTATAATTTCATTATGATATTAAAATCCATATTTTGAAAATGTGAATCTATTATGCACTCACTTTTTATGAAAGGAATTATTTCTTACCACAATAAATAATATTAAACATTTGTCAAACTACCGAAAATGAGTTGCCCTCGGAACACAAAATTTAAAACTAATCAAATTATTTGTTCATTTTTATCAAATAAGTGCTCCGCCAAATTGATGTAAACAAATCTTTACCGTTTCAAGAACAAGAACAAATCTGTTAATAATTCAATATAAGAAAAGAGCAGATTCAGTTATATTTCAACTCTCTTTTTAGTTGTTGGAAACGTCATCAAATCGTAATCGTATTGTAAGACTTTTGTTTCTACTTCTAGAAGATAAGTATTGTAGTACAAGAAGAAATTTTTTTAACTTAATTAGTAAAAGTAATTTATTTAAACAGAAAGTAATTTACAAAGTCAATGAATTGAAAGATAAAACTTTAATATGCGTAGAACACCAAATTACTTGCAATTATGTTCCGAATCACAATGATCATTTAATCTTAAAAGCTACTTGAATCTTTTTCTTATTACCCAAACAATAATAATCACAAAATACGGACTTCTGCATCAAGTTGCAATATTAGTAACAAACTTTCTGAGAATATGATGAAATTTTAATGTATATATATGTAGTTTATTTAAAAAAAAGGTAAACTATACATTCGTATTTACATATATTCAAAATCCATTAACAAATTGAATATTAGTTATTCATTATTCTATATATTCTGAATAAGACAAAGAGCTCAAACACTTTTCACAAAATTTATTATAACAACTTATTTTTAAGCTGAAATTATCAAAACTATTGCCTTGATGTTCTCAATTTTTGGAGATAATTTCGAAAAACAAATCTCACAAATTCCAACAAATTTAATTCACTCGTCTACTTTTATCAAAGTATATATTATAGTATATACAATCTCCAGTACTTCTGTAAATGCATCAGAAATATTCTGGAATTTCTGCACTTTTACACTTCAAAAATGTTAATTCGAAAATATTGAAACAAAAACATTTAAAAACTTGCTTAGTTATAAAAAATTATTCCAATTATTAAAAAATTATTCACTGAACTAGAAAACCCTTTATTTAAATATTTTTAGGGTGACGTTATCACAATTAGGAGAAAAAGTTAGATATCAATTTACTTGAACACTTTTAAACACACGGTTAACCATCTGTTGCCAGATTACAGATTACAAAAAAAGAATACTCATATCATTTTGCTTTATCTACTAAACACTACTTCTCCTTTTGTTACAAATTAATATGAATGTTTCTGGCTATCTTTTTTAATAATGTTTCAAACTATAAAAAAATTAAAAATTTTTATATTAAACTATTTTAACATCGATTTTGCAGTTCTCAAAACTTTACTTCACTACATATTTGTTATAGCGCGGATATGATATGATCAAGAATATTTATATATATAAAATCAATATTTCAATGACTTTAGCTTTCGTTACATTTCATTTCAATGCATTATCTTACCCAAAATAAAAAAGAAATCAGTCTGATAAAGCCCTGTGTACGCTAAAAGAAAAAATTTTGTGTCACCCAAATTTCATGTTTAGGGATTCTACGATATATTAAATCAATCTTTCTCAAAGTAGATGATAGCGTTCCCTTGTATGCAATAAATCTGTACAGGGAGACGATATGGGTCAATAAAAAATTAGTGAATTGTTGAATTTCTTCTAATAATATATTTAAATTGGTAATACCAGGCTAGTTGTTAAAACATTTTCCAAATGTCAACATAGGAAATATATCCCAGCTTGAGAAAAAGCTTGTAGAACTCATAACTAGTAAAAAAATAAAAATCAAATTAAAAAAGGACTACCAAAGTTTAGACTACAAAAATTTAAAATCCAACAATTGTACCTTGGATTGTAGTTGTTAGTTCAATGATTTTTAATATGATTCCGTCTTTGTATGAACACGGATTTAGTGCTGTGGCACCAGTGTTAATAAAAATTTAACATCCTAGATTCATCTTTCAAATTAGATAAGTTTAAAAATTGTGAAGATATTCTGATTGCGTTCTAAGTGCTTTCAATAGATAGAGTCTTATTTAAAATGTAAGTTTGAACATAGAAACAGGATAAGGTAAGATGTAAATTTGAAAATTGTAAAGAGGGGGGGTGTTAAAAAACAATGGATTCTTAAAGTATGCGTTAAACAAAATATGTTTGAGAACTACTGCATAAGATTACATTGAGCAATGCACACTAGTTATAGTACCACTCCGTGCAGTTAAATAAACTGTTTGAGTGGAAAAGTATGTTAACAGCATAAAGTTTTTCGATACTAGTGTTCACCAAACAGTGTTTCCCAAACCTAACAAAACAATTATGAAGTTTTCAATAAAAAATTAAATTTATTAATTCATTTTACTTAATTTCATTTAAAACTCGTTATTTGTTTTTTGACTAATAATAGTAAAATATAAGAATCAAAGCAATTTTTAAATGTTGAAACGTGTTAATGAAATCAAATATAGATTGAGAATTAAATTGATTGCATAAAAAGCATATATAAATAATTAAATTGCAAAAGATTCCAAGAGAAAAAGCTTCACTTACCCATGACTATCTTGGTCAATACTTACCGGAATAGATCATACATAGTTCCAAATATAAAAAATTTTGGTGACGACGATGAAGTAGAAAGTACAGGGAATATTTCCACCCAACAAGATTTAATTACTTTTCAATACTGGTTTTGTTCGTACACAAACATTTC